AAAGCCCAGCAGAGGGTGGGAGCCTCAGGGGAAGAGAACTTAATCATTCTCCAGCTACCTCTTTAAACCCACCAACCATGCACCACACAGGGGAACGCTGACTGACTCTGAGGCCATTAACTACAGTAACCAGAAAAAGGGTCATTGAGGTGGGGCCGATTGTGCTATGTTTTCAATGCACAAGGTAGGCGTGTTTTGAAACTGAAGATGGGGCTCTTAGGCACTATAGTACTTACATTATTATTGTTAAGAATGTAAAATCCTACAGAGACAAGGCCCTGTTGTTTTTACCTGGAGGTAGCTAATCAAGGTCAACACTATACCACCCCCTCACCCAGGGTTTACCTCGCCTAGCTCCATCAAGGTGGAAACTACCTGTGCCTTGTCTCCTCCAGAATTTTACATCAATGTAAAACACACCTTTCCCAGCAATGAAGACCACATCCTGGGAGACTAATGAAGTTAAAAGGGCTAAAAGTGGGTGTGATACTGAGTCAGAAACGGTTAAGCAACTTGCAGGCTAAATGACCCAAATTCTACCTTTAAAGACATATTAGGAAAGTATGTAAATGGTAATTAGGGATATTCCTTATAAATAGCTAGCAAAGCCACGTTAGATAGACGAGAGCTTTGAAATGTAGACTTGTATTGTTAAAGAATTGGGAAAAGATAGTGATTGTACTAGTCTATGTTTACCTATATCTTGTTAGATGTTAACAATGTAACCAGACAGCTCCTGTCTATCACTATGTTTCATTGATTCAAAGATCAAAAAGGGAATATTAACGTTTAGATGAACTGTAAAAAAGTGGTAATATCACGGTCTTCATTTCTCTTTGAAGTATGTAATAAACTACTTGTGAATGGAACAGGAGTACTTGTGGCACCTTAGAGACTAACAAATTTATATGAGCATAAGCTTTCGTGGGCTACAGCCCACTTCATCGGATGCAAATGGTGGGAGATGGGCAGTTGCCTAATGCTGATCCATGTAGCTAATTATCAGTGATGCTGAGGAAATAGGAGTTCTACTTCAAAGCCACAGTGCTTCACCTATTATTCACCTGCTGTCAAGAGGCTGCAAGAGAATTATAAAAGAAACTCTTGGGCCCTGATCCTGTTATCTCAGATCTGCTTCAGCTTCCTCAGGGGACATTTGAGTCCCAAGACTGAGGTCCCCAGCTCCAGTCAGGATCACCCAGATATTGGACATTGGGCTATAACCTATGGAATTGATTCTGAAAGAACCTTTTGCAACTCTAAAACTCACCATCTCTATTACGAAACTGACCTAAGAACTCTATTCATACCTGTATGTATAATGATCTTTTAACCTATACTCTTTTCTTTTTAAATAAATCTTAGTTTAGTTAATAAGAATTGGCTGCGTAAGATCTGAAATATTCATTGACCTGGTGGGCGATGTGTCCGATCTTTTGGGATTGGTACAACTTTTTATATGGTGAATAAGATTTTCAGTAATCCTCATCATATTTGATTTGGCTGTCTGGGTGGGAGCCCAAGGCTGAATTGTTTTAAGGGAACTGTGTTTTGGGCTTCTGGGTAACCAGTAAGGTGTTGTAGAAGCTGCTTTGTTGCTGGCTTGGTAAATGTAAGTATTAGAACAACCACCAGTTTTGGGAATCATCTTCCCCATTCTTTGCAGTTTGCCCTGATTAAGCAATCTCAGTGTGGCCCCCCTGGGACCCTGATCACAGTGGGGGACTCTCCGGGCTCAGAAAGTGGCTTGGAGATCACCCTGTGAGGGAAAGGTATGTCAGGACCCTGGAGAGGACTGTGAGGAAAAGCTAAATATGTCACGTGCATCCAGTTTTCAGATTCGCCTTATTTGCCACTGATTTAGTGTAGTGGTTGTTTGCTCAGAGTGGTTTTAGGGATGTTGTAAAATGCCCCAACATACAATCCCACCAACTAATAAAGAGGAGATTCAAACTGAAGCAGGCTGAATGCCCACTTTTCATTCCCCCTCCCCTTTAATTATAAACGTGGCACAAGAACCTGCAAATCATCCAAAGCAGTAAAACCATAAGGAACCAACACAACCAAAAATATAAAAGCTAGAAGTAATGCAACATGCTAACTCAGTCTGTGTGTAAAGAGACCACATTCTCGTCTGTGCATTATGCAAGAGTAAAGTTCCTGAAGCCACACACACATACTACGCACTTTCCTATTTACTTCATCCATCAGCGAGTGATATTGCACATTTGGTTTCTTTTGCAATTTGGGTTTTCAAAAGATCATAACAACTTCTCTTATTTTTGTTCCCAAAAACAGAGAGAGGGGAGAAACACAGGACTTGCCTTAGCCGACCGGTACCAATCATCCACCTAATCCAGCATCCACCTTTGAGAGCAGCCAGTACCAGAAGCTTCAGAGATGAGTGTCTCCCCCACTATGGGCAATAATGATGCAACACAGGTATGGGGGAAAGTTACTTCTTAGTCCCAGACAACTGAGGGTTGGCTTATGTCTTAAAGTAAGAATGCTGAGATCCCTAATACATTTTTATCCCAGCACATGTAACAGCAGATGTGTTTACTACCCATATAAACGTCAAATCCTTTTATGACTCTTAGCTATTGGCCACAAGGTTATCTTCTGGTAGTAACAAGCTAATTATGCATTGCATAAAAAAAAAAAAGATCAGCTTGACGTTTGTTTCGCTGGCAGGCCCCTTGTTATTGTATTATGAGAAAGGGTAACCCCAAGTGCAAAACTGACTTTTCTTCACCATTCACTTTGTATCCCTCTGTAAACTTGTATTAGACTTCTCTCTAAACTGTATTCTCACCTCTTTTTCTTTCCTTCTCATAACAGGTCATTCTAGGCCTCTAGTAATTTTCATTCCCCTTTGGAAACACTTTCTATATTTCTATATCTTTGAGATGGGATGATCAGAACTGAAAACAGTATTCAGAGCAGTGGCATGCCGTTTTCTTATATAATGTCATTCATTACAGCATTTCCAGTGTTATTCCCTCTCTCTTTTTTGATCTGGCCCAACATTTTATTTGCTTTTTTGATCACTGCTGCACTCTGAACTGAGGTTTTCCCTGAGCTCATCATGGTGATGCCCGGCTCTTTTTTCTGAGGGGCTACTGTTAATTTTAAAACCTAGTAATAAGTAAAAGCAGCTCAAACTATACCTGCCAAAGTGCATCACCCTGCACTTGTCCAAGTGGGATTTCATCTGCCACCGTGTTGCCCAATTGCCTATCTTAACTAGACCCCTCGGATGTTCCCCACAATCCTCTCTATTAACCCAATTACTTATAGGCCACGTATTCATTAGCTCTAGTCATGGCACAATGCTCAACGTTTTTCTATTTTGAAAATCAGCATTTCCACTCGGTCTCTGATCCACGATAGCACTTTAGCTCTCACCCCATAACTATTTTGTTTCCTTAATGGCCTCTGGTGAAGGATTTTACCAATGTCAGTTTGAATACCCATGTACATATTTTTAAATATATATTATACGATGTCCGGCTGATCCCAGGGGTGTGACATTATAAAAAAGATTTACCCAAACAAGTGTAGGTGAAGTTCAGATCCAGTTGCAAACTTTGAGGGCTCTACAAATGGCTACAACTTGGCAAGGATAGTTCCCCACCCCCAACCCCATTTTATGTAACCCACTCGGAGAGCATTTTGATTGGGCAAATTTTATATTGGCCCCTCACCCAAATATAATTAGAAATAGAGGAAACCAATCAGGAGAATAATTAGAGTGAAACCTGGCAAGCGGTCTTAGCATTGTTTAAGTCTAAGGGCAGGTCTACACTACGGCAGGGATCGATGTTCTGAGATCAATCCACCGGTGGTCGATTTAGCGGGTCTGCTAAAGACCCGCCAAATCGACTGCAGATTGCTCTCCAGTCGATCCCTGTACTCTACCCCCGACGAGAAGAGTAAGATAAGCTGACAGGAAATTTTCTCCCCTCGATTCCCCGCAGTGTAGACCCCGCGGTAACTCAATCTAAGGTACGTAGCTGGAGTTGCACAGTGTAGGTCGACTTACTGCGGTAGTGTAGACACAGCCTAAGTCTTGGTATTATAAAGTACAAAAGTAATGCCATTTTACATCTGTTCAACCATTAATTATCAGGGACTACATTCACCCTGAGCAGAAGCAGGCATCACTCCACTAGAATCAGTAGAATGGTGCCCATTTACACCAAAGTGAGACTGACCTTACCTATCTAGGAAACCGAAGATCGCCTTTTCCTTGGGTATTTGCTTAGGACACGTTTCATTACTGAACCTGTATTTCCACTTTTATTCTGCAATTTTCCATTTATTAATTTTTTTAGTGCTTTCATTTCTATTTTTCGTTCGTCTGGAGTCTCTACCATGAGCTCAAACACTGTTTTACATAGCTCTTTGGAGAAAATCACTTAAGATAGAGGAATGAACATTACAGGTAGTTTCCAAATCATAAAAATGAAAACTCTCTCCAGGAGAGAAATTATATTTAACCCTTGTAACATTTGTCACAGCACCTGTGATGCAATCGAGCTTGTAATTCATATTAGGATGAATGTCATAGCTTACACAGCACAATGTAGTAGTTATAATGTCAATAACAATGTCTCACTGCCACATCTTTTAGTTGGATCTTTCTAAGTTATTATGTTCCGCCTCATTTGGGCCCCTTCCTTATTATTAGTTAAATGGCAAGTCTACAGCTATTGATTAAATTATCCCACAATATTTGCTGGAAGTGATGAGAATTGATCATATGACAGGACAAAAGGGGTATTCTCCTTGAGTGTGATTTGGTTCCAGGAGCTCTGATCACATTAACCAGTGACTGAATTAAGTAGAAGGCACCATATTGGTTTTTAAAAAAATCCAAAACTTATTTTAAGTAGAGAAACTGAAGGCATTAAAAGTTTTTCTACTGTCTCGGCACTGACAAGTGTCTAGTGGTTTTCAGACCAATGTGCAACCGGAGCAGGCTGCTAAATACCAACCTCGTTGTATAAATCACTGAATTCTTCAACCACATCTTTCGGAATCCTCTGCCCATTGTTGGTAAGGTGATAAGCCACCCCATTCTTGGAGTAAAGACTGATACGGCCAATGCTTCTCTCACCATCAGTAGTCTCTTCAAGTAAGCCATTGTCTTCTGCTAGATGGTAGACTGGGTTTCCATTTGAACCATGGATCCACGTAGCTCCCAGTTCAAAAGTGGCGTTCTCTAGGGGGGAACAATCCAATTAGACCAGTACGATGAACTCGTTTACACAGAGATGTTGTATGTCACATCCCAGTCTACAAATGAAGAGCAGTAAATAGAGCACAAATAAGACATTTGCCCAATGATGCCACGTTACCAAAAAAACAACACTGAAGCACTGAAGAAGTGCTTTCACTTAAGGACAAGTTTAAGTGTCATACTAATGTTTGTTCATCGTAGGTCTCTACGGAACAACAGTGTCATACAGTGCTACAAAAGGGGAACAATCACAAGAGGGATGTTCCCTAAAGAGATTCCAAGGTATGCAGCAGCAATGGTATCTAATAGTTCAAGAACAAAGCAGAATCCCTGACTCCAGGTCCTAATCCATGATTGTCACTAGCTCAACAGGTGTCACTTAGCCTCTCTACTTCATCCTTCCCACCTATAAAATAGGGATACTATTCGTTTACCTATCACAAGGATGCTGGAAGGACCTCTGCACAGAGCTTTATATCTTCAAAAGAGCTATGTGAGTATTTTCTATATCCCGGTATCAGATTCTGAGCAGTGTAACAGCAGAATGCAATGGTGTCTACCCTACGAACATCATTAGAATTTAGTGCACCAGAGAGTATATTGATCTCTCTTGCTCAGAAAGTGTGAGGGGTTAGGGGAGGAAAAGAGGAGTTGGCTCTCTGTACTGTACTACTGCAAACAGAATATAAATGAATACTTACATAAATATTGAAGAAGTGGTAGGGAAAGAATAAGAGCATCGGTAGGCCACCCAAAGCCTTCAAACATCAAATTTAGTCTGAGGGAAGGGGAGGGAAGGTGATTGTTATTCAAGTACAGGGCAAAAAGGCATCTGTTCCACTAAAGCAGAGGAATGCAGGAAAGACTGAGACTGTCCTGTAATGGCAGCCTGAGGCTGCTTACTTTAGCATGCAGGAAAGCCGCCTTCTGCAATTAAACGTGTGTGTTGTTTACCAAAAGGACTCAAGCTACCTGCATTTCCGTAAGGTGGAATTAGATCATATTTTATTATTTGTGCCTTTGAAAGATTTCTTTAAAAAGATGCACTGTCACATTAAAAAAAAATCATTTATTTTTCACTACCTATGCTGTTTGTTTGCTTTTTGCATTTCTCAGTTTGGACAATGCAAACTGATTAGTCAGTTACATGGTTCTCTTTAGTCTAGGTCTAATCAGTTTTGCCCTCAGACTCTCACGTATTAGCCCAATTCTGCAAAGTTTAAGCTGATAACACAGGGGCATGTTTATTAGGTTAAAAAGAAACACTGTTTCTAACAGATTTTAACTTAACTTATGGGACTATTTCTTATTACAGTTAGGTTTTGTAAAAGCTCATTTGTACAAAACCAAATTTGGACTAAATCTGACCCAACACTGTCCCTTTAATATCATGGTCAACCCCATGCAATGCAGCATGTCCTGTAGTTTATGTGGATATTTTATTAGGAATTAGCAGGTTAGCTACTAGCCTAGATGTTTTCACTCTTAATAACTTCCTACCGAAGAAGGTAAGAATCACGTAATTGATTACACCAGGGGTTCTCAAACGTCACTGCTCCGCAACCCCTTTCTGACAACAAAAATTACTACACAACCCCAGGACGGGGGACCGAAGCCTGAGCTCGCCCGAGCCTGGCTGTCCCAGGTGGAGTTGGAGGGCAAAGCCAAAGCCCAGCCCCACTGCTCTGAGTAGGGGGGCCAAAGCTGCAGCCCAAGGGCTTCAGCCCCGCGCAAGGGGCCTGTAACCTGAGCCCCACCACCCAGGGCTTAAGCCCTCGGGCTTCGGCCCTGGACCCAGGCAGTGGGAGTAGGGCTTCAGCTTCAGACCTGGTCCCAGGCAGTGGGGCTAGGGCTTTGGCCACGGGTGGTGGGGCTTGGGTTTCAGCTTTGGTCCCAGGCCCCAGCAAGTCTAATGCCAGCCCTGGTGACCCCATTAAAATGGGGTCGCGACCCACTTTGGGGTCTCGACCCACAGTTTGAGAACCGCTGGATTACACCATCACATAGTGCTTAACATGTAAATACAATCACAATGCCATCCAAATATGCTAACATTTACAGTGGGTTCACTGTTAGAAGTGATGCTATCAAGTTGTACGAATGAGTCACCATTTCAAAGCAAATCCCAAGACATTTGGGTTTCCAAGCCAAGAACAATTTCAAAAGGAAGTAAAGTGCCAGTGGAAGTTATCCGTCAAGGTCCTGAATGTGCAAAGACTTACATGGGCACATAAAGCATGTGCTCAAGTCTATGCAAAATCAGGGCCTAAATGTGTTAATATTTAAGGCATTGCAACTTCTGAACATACCCATAGATCATGCAGTCTGGTGGAAATGATTCAGTCCAGCAGTCAACGGTATAGTGCTCATAAATATTTCAGGTTTAGAGTGACAGTGATCTTATTACCTGGGATCTTCATGCAATCCATAGCATACAAGATTATTAGCAGGAGTAGTATATAAAACACGTAGGCCAGTCTGTGGTCGCCGTTACAATAGTGTGAATTGGCATTAATACTGACTTCCAAATAGAATCTGGCTCTTTTTCTTTCAATTATCAGCATTTTTTAAAGTAACACAAAATACTAGCATATTCTTCTTTATTTTTACCCAATAGCATTTACTTTACTGTCACAGCACAAACAAAAAAGGAAAAGCCATTTTCTCCTGTGTTCTATAGGAGCCGTTGTGAGGAATGTAATTAAATACTGTACAGGGAAACTAAAAATAGTCTAGCTCACCTGTATATTTAGAAACCCATTAACTGACATTACTCAAAGCGGATAAGCCAGTTATTTCCTGGAGTAAGTGGCATGATAAATTCTTTAAAGTTGTGAAGTTAATCACATTCTTTTACACAGATACTCCATTTAGTTCCAGGGCCCTTCAGGGCTTGAAAAATTAAGTAGTTCCAATACCAATTTCATTTGAATAAGGCCTTGTCTACACTACAGGATAAAGTCAATCTAAGCTACGCAATTTGAGTTATGTAAGTAGCATAACTCAAGTCGCCGTAGCTTATATCTATTTACCGCGGGGTCCACACTATGGGATGTCGACGGGAGACAGTCTCCCGTCAATTCCCCTTACTCTTCTCGATCCGGTGGAGTACAGGAGTTGACGGGAGAGCGATCTGCGGTCGATTTAGTGGGTCTTCACTAGACCCGCTAAATCGACCACCAATGCATCGATGGCTGTGCGTCGATCCCCTGGTAAGTGTAAACAAGCCCTTAGTAAGAGAGTAGTATACAGTCCTCATAAAATGGGTCTGCTGGTCCCATTAACATGGTTATTTAGCTATAATATGTATTTCTCATGCATCACTGTGATGTAGCACCTGGATGTTATGATGATTGTTGCAATACATATATCAGACCAATGCAGAGGCCGTATATATTATATATATATACACACACACCTCTACCTCAATAAAACGCTGTTCTCGGGAGCCAAAAAATCTTACCACGTTATAGGTGAAACCGCGTTATATCGAATTTGCTTTGATCCACCGGAGTGTGCAGCCCCGCCCCCCACGGAGCGCTGCTTTACCGTGTTATATCCGAATTCGTGTTATATCGGGTTGCGTTATATCGGGGTAGAGGTGTATAACTAAAGCAGAACACTTCATCTCTTCTTTGTTATTGCCCTGAGTGAAATTCTGAAAAACTTGTCTATGTTGAGTTACAACTAACTCTATGAGAGGTCTCATTGGAACTGCAGATACTAAGTAAGTGTATCTGAATTTAGACCTTAAGTAACTATCTTCAAGGGTACGTCTTCACTGCAGATAACTCAGGTAATCAGCACCCAGATCTAACCTCACCCAGGTGTGAGCAAACACACTGCAAAGCCTGTGTCTTAACTGGTGCTATGCTCCCCTGTGTGCGTCACTAGGTCTTCAGGGGGCATATCTTTGTGCTGCAGGAAGCTGAGCTGCTCTGATTCTTTCCCAGTGGACTTGTGGAAAAACTTGTCTGTCCTTCAGAGAACATTAGGGGAATTGTGGGAAGGCACTGGAGGACTATCAGCAATTGAATGGTTTAGCTTGCATCCTCATTGTCAAGTGGACGGGCTACCCGCTCAAGTGAAAGTGGTACTCAAGTTCTAGCCTACACCTCCAGTCAGGCCAGCTAGCCCAGGTTTAAAGCACTACCAACCTCAGATGAGAGGGTTTTGTGTGTGGACACACAGGGGGTTGGGGCAACACTAAAGTAAAACCCTGAGTTACCTCTGCAGTGAAGACATACCCCAAGGAAGAGATCACTAGACCACTCCTTAGCTTTGTCATTGAGGAGAAGGGGCTGCGTATAAAGGCCTTGCAACCTGTCCTAATAGGAGGAAAACTTGGGCTCCTCCTGATGACCAGTAACAAAGAATTCAACACCAACAATCCTCCACCAGGAACAATATGTCCTCAGATACAGCAAGCCAGATCACCAGCTAGTACACACAGGCGTGACTCCAATGAAGTCAAACCTAAAACCAGTTTATACCAGCTAAGGATGTGGCTTTGAATATTTAAACCATGAGGAATGTTTTCAAAGAGACTGGAGATCTGGAGATGAAAGGCCCTCGGAGCCAGAATCTGCCAGCCTTGCTCTTGTACAGAAGCAAAGGGGATACTCACAGGTGCATCTACATTAGATAAGAAGGTACATTCTGTGCTACCAGTAGGTAAATAAACCTCATCAGTCTTATGGAATCACCTCCCTAATGCCAACTAACTAGTTTAATTTTTGACCATGTTCTCTGTATTCATTAACTTGGGCCTCTAGCTGGTCGTCTTTCACTTTATTTAGCCCGGCCTTACGTCACTTACTGTATTTTACTCTATAAACTCACCACAGTAAATAAACATGAGTGCCTGTGACCTTTCAGAAGGGAAATGAATGAAAAGGCTATTTGACAAATCTAAACTTTGGAGTCTGAATAGGGCATTTCAAACGCTGGCGAGACTTGGCACAGAGATTAGAATGGGAAATGTGTCATTTACTCCCCATGGGCTGTGTCCAAAATATCCTTGATCATGCGTGTGAGTGGAGGGAAGTGTTAAAGGTTTGAATATTAAGGGGCCAATATTTTCCCTGTGGAATATTTTGTATAGTACTAATATAGGGCCTAATTTTGCCTTCCCTGTTCACTATGTTACTCTGTGGTCTTTCCTTCTCTAGGAAGAAAAGGGAGTTCTTACCTCATGTTAGCTAACACGTGGTAACCAACACAAGGAAAAATCCTAGTGAAGACAGGCAATTTGGAGCCTACGGTTTACCTCAACCAACTAATACACGTTATACTCCTGAAGGCATTTTGCGCCAAAAAATTAAAAATTCTGCGCACAATATTTTAAGATTCTGCAAATTTTATTTGTCAAATAAATGTAGAGGCTCCAGCATGGCATTGGAGAAGCACAGGCCACTGGCTGCACGAAGGTGGGAGATCATCCTGCAGCACCCCCACCCCTGGGAAACGGACTCAGCAGTGAGGCTGCACCCGACCCTGACACAGCACAAGGATTGGGCCTGCCCTGGAAACACCACCCCCCTCCATGCCAGTTGCACCAGGTGTGGGCAGGCAGGATCCAAGTGTGGAGGGGCTTAGTGTGGGGGAATCCAGGTGTGGGTTGAGAGGGTTCTGTGTGGGGTAATCTGGGTGCAGGCAGCTCAGTGGGGGATCTGGGTGTGGGGGGGATCTGGATGCACAGGGGCTTGTTGGGGGGGTTCTGGGTGCAGTGGTAATGGGACTTTGCAGGGGGGTCCAGGTGAAGGTGGTTGGGGCTCAGCTGGGGGGGTCTTTATGTGGGGGGCATAGAGCTAGGCAGGGGAGTGTGGGGGATCCAGGTATTGGAGGGTGAGGCTCGGTGGGGTGGAGATCCCGGTGCGGTGGCTCATTGGAGTGGTCCAGGTGCAGGGCGAGTGGGGCTTATTGGGGGGGTTCTGAATGCGGGGGGTGAGGATCGACGGGAGGGTCTAGGTATGAGGGGTCTGGATGCATGGGGGTTAGGTGGATGTGGGAGCAGGTCTCTGTACAGGGATCCCTCCCCCTGCAGCTGAAGAGCGATGGGTGCAGGAAGCGGGGGAAGTTTGCAAAGCTTCTTGCAGCTGGGGGAGAAATCTGGGGGTGGGTCTGACCCCGCCCCAGATGCCGTGCAGGGGAAGAGCAAGTCCCGTCCTCCCCAGACGAGCCAGGACTAGCTGCTAAGCTCGGAGCAGGGTAGGGAGCTGGGTCTTTCCCAGTCCCGCCCCCTACCCCACAGTGATTTACCTCTTTGCCGGCTGCCCTGGGCACCCAAAACATACTGCTGGGGAGGGTCACATGACCGCTCTTGTGGCTACCCTTTGCTTCCCTGTCAGAAAGTCATTTTTCTGCGGGGAAGCAAAGAAATCTGCGGGGGACATACATTCTGCACATGCCCAGTGGCACAGAATTCCCCCAGGAGTAACGTTAATGCTACACACCGCCTTGTCTTCACTAGGCATTTACTTCACATTACTTACCATGTATTAGCTAACGGGATGGGAATACTAATTCTAATCTAATCTCATCCCAGCCCAGGTAGACAGACATGCACTAGCTCTACTCCAGCTAGCACGCTAAAAGTAGCAGCATGGATGATGTGGCTTGGGCAGCAGCCCAGGCTAGCCACCTGAGTGCAGAGCCAGGGGGTCAGGTGGCCTTGCACTCAGGTGACTAGCTCGTGCCGCAATGTCCACACCATTTTTAGCGTGCTAGCTCAAGCAGAGGTAGCATGTCTGTCTACTCGGCCTGGAAAACTCATTCCCCGCTGCAGTGTATGTACCCCAAGATACCTACGTTCTGTGGTCAGCAGATTACTGAATGTTCTTAGCCAAGAGCAAAGATTGGATGCCACAGAAGAAATCTTCCTAGTTCATACACTCAAGTTACTGGAGAAAAATACTCTTCCCCACCCTCAGCCACGCTGAACTCTCTTTATAAAGCCAAATGATCACCAACACCTTCACTTCACAATAATACTTTACACTTCTGCAGAGCCTTTCATCTAAAGCTCTGAGTGCTTGGGAAGCTCTGTGCCCCTCACATGCACAATAACCCATTGCACCCAGAAGCCTGGTAATTGCAGGCTAAAATATCCATTTGCAGGTGCAAATGACCAGGAAATGGCTTTAAGAGGATATCTAACTAATTAACCCTCGTAATAATACGAACCCTTGCCAGAAGCGCGAGATGAGAGAGTCCGATACAACAGTACAACAACATTTTCCTTACCAAGTTTGACGCTTTGCACTCTGCCTCCAATTCGGTCAGACGCCTCAAGGATTGTTACATCCGTGAAACCGTTTTCCAGGAGAGATTTTGTAGCTGACAGGCCCGCAAGGCCAGCACCAATAACTACTATTCGAGGCTGTCGTTTTCTCCGTAGGCCACTACTAAGAGGATCATCAGTGCTGTCTGAAGATGTTTCACAACTTTGCATGCCGTCCAAGCTCTCTTTCTAAGGAATCTAAGGAAAAGCAAACAAACAGGTTCAAGAAACTAAACCAACAACTCTTCACCCTTCAGGAGGATTCCTTCTCTCAGCACAGAAGCAAATTTGGGGAGTCTCTAGATATATGACTAGCAGAAAAGAAAGTCAACCTATGAACTAGAACAAGTCCTTTCAAATGGGAACCACAGAAAGGGCAAAGAAGGATGTAAGAGTTTCTGGTCTTGACTCTGGAGCATCAATCATTGAGCCTACTGAAGTCTCCACCCTCTACATTGTAACTATGTAACCATTTCCAGCAAATTCATAGGATTTCTGACCTCCTGTCTCTTTATATAACCTACTGATGTGGCAATTTTGTGGTAGAGCAAAAACACACACCCTGTGACAACTAGCTGTTCAAAGAAGTAACGTAACTTTATTCTGCTTCTGTGGCAACCACAAGGCATAAGCTTTAGATCATATAAATACGATACTAGGTAAATGGGACTTAGCTCAAAGCAGGAAGACCGGCTATCAAACCAATAGCTGAACCAAAAGTGGGGGTGGGGAGGAGAATCTAGGGTTTGCTCATTAGAGGGCTATTTGATTATTGCATTGTTAAGAAATGTGACTAAATGCACTAATGATCACAAAACAACCACACTGCTTTTCACTTCTGAGGTACCATTCATTTGAGGATCTCAAAGCACTTTGCACATATTAACTGAACTTCTCCACCTCTGTGTAGTACGCAGGGATCAGACATGGAGGAGACAGACGATGGTCCAAATTCAGCAGCCACAGGTACAGTCCAGAACAAGCCTACAGATCTATCCATTTTATAAACTTCCTCTCATCTTATCAGACTTCTGCCAGCAAAATCCTGCAGTACACAAGTGAGTCAATTATATTCCAGCACTGAGCCCAGAGGATGAAGGTAGTCCATAGCTGCCTCCTCACTGTTTTCTTGGAATGTGGCACTCTCCTGATAAGGCCTTGTTTCTCTAGGACCCTGAGGGGAGCGGGCGTCAGAGAGAATAGTAAAACAGTAAGCGAACTTGGCAGGAATATCGCCAAGGGTCAAACAAAATTAAAAAAGCAAACAAGGCAATTCTGAGCCAACGCTGGCACAATGTCCTTAACTCACCTAAAGTAGACTGTAGAATAGGCACTAGCCACAGGTACCCTGTTTCCCCGAAAATAAGACATCCCCCGAAAATAAGACCTACTTCCAGTTTTGCCTCTCGCTGTAATATAAGACATCCCCCGAAAATAAGACCTCCCCGATAATAAGGCCACCCCGGAATATAAGGCCCCGAAGCTCCAGGAAAAATAAGACCTCCCCTGAAAATAAGACCTAGCGCATCTTTGGGAGCAAAAATTAATATAAGACACTGTCTTATTTTTGGGGAAACACGGTAGGAGCTGCATGCTGAAGTACCTGCATACTACCGTGCTGTAATCATGGACAAATGGGACACATTCTGAGTTGTGTGTCCACATACTATTCCCAGGCTCATTTGTGTGGATTTGGTTTTTTAGACACTATTCTCCAATGAACGTTTTAGCGCTTATGAAAGGTGCCTGTTGAGGTGCTAAAATTAACAAAAGCTATATCCAGCCAGCAGGGGAAAAGATCCCTCCTGACCCACAGACTCCCTCAAGCGCAAAAGGACAAATTTAACACAGTCAGTTGCACAGAGTATTTTTTAATTCCAATGAAACAGGATTTAAAGGTTATCCTGCCCTGGAAACCTAGACACCAGCACTGGTTTGTGTGGAACAGCAAAATGAAACAGACTAACTCGGTTTTCATTGCACAGGCCAACGGAAGAACAAGAGATAAACACAGTACGCATAAGACAAAAAGAAGGACCTTACATTTAAGTAATTTTAATGATCTAAGATATCATCAATACCAGTAAAGACACCACACACACATACATTTTATATACTGCATAAGAGATGCTTTGGTCCAAAAATACACCTCTACCCCGATATAACGCTGTCTTTGGGAGCCAAAAAATCTTACTGCATTATAGGTGAAACCACGTTATATCGAACTTGCTTTGATCCACCAGAGCACACCCTCCCACCCCCCCACCCAGAGCACTGCTTTACCGCGTTATATCCGAATTCGCGTTATATCGGGTCGCATTATATCGGGGTAGAGGTGTACCTACATAGTGTGAAGATTTCTGATAGCAGAGGATTCTTTAACCAAGCACGCAGAGGCATAGCCAGTGGCTGAAAGCTGAAACTAGACAAATTCAGACTAGGAATATGACCTGTATTGTATCACTGTTTACTTGTGCTTCCCGGCCGGTCTGTATTCATCTGCTGTCTCTTGGTTTACATTTCGATTGTAAGTTCTTTGGGGCAGGGACCATGCTTTCTTTCTTTGTTTTTGTTCTGTGTTTGTACAGCACCTCGCGTAGTGGGGTCTTGGCCCATAATTAGGACACCAAGTTGCTAAATAATAACTAGCAATGGTAACTGACCATTGGAACAACTCCCCTGAGGCTGCAGTGGATTCACCATCATGTGAAGTCTTTAAATCACGGCAAGGTGTCGTTCTAAAAAGATATGCTCTAGCTCAGCCAGAAGTGATGGTCTGGATGCAGGAATTATTGGGGGAAATTCTCTGGCCCGTGTTATGCACGTCAGCCTAGATAATCATAATAGCCCTTGCTGGCCTTAAGCAAGGAAATCTATAACTACGCACACAAACGTGCATGTATGTATAATAATATACGTATTGAGTAGGGGGTTGGACTAGATGACCTCCTGAGGTCCCTTCCAACCCTGATATTCTATGATTCTATAATTTGTGTCCATATAATATACCGACACACATGGGAGTGTGTGCTGTTCTCGGTGTCCCTTAAAGAATAAAAAAGGATTACACAATACCCAGAAGCATGCTTCCTCCTCTCCAAACAATCCAAAACAATCTTAGATAAATGGATTGAAAATCCATTTTTCAACAGGCTATTCTCCTCCCGCCCTGCCAAAAAAACCAGATTGTTATCTGAAAGCAGAGCTAATGGAATCCATATACAGAAGGTTCACACAACAGAAGCAGGAATGGCAACATATTTAGCAGATGTAAAGATTATGCACAGTGTGGCCATTATCTCATTAAGAAGCCTAGCGCTACTCGAATCAAGCAAACGTATAACAAGCCAGGCTCTAATGAGTAATCTTCGGGGGGAGGGATAGGTCAGTGGTTTGAGCATTGGCCTGCTAAAACCAGGGTTGTGAGTTCAATCCTTGAGGGGGCCACTTAGGGATCTGGGGCAAAAATCAGTATTTGGTCCTGCTAGTGAAGGCAGGGGGCTGGACTTGATGACCTTTCAGGGTCCCTTCCAGTTCTAGGAGATAGGATATCTCCATATATAATAAAATAAAAAAAAACCTTTATCTAATTAACTGCAGTGAGAAAGTATTCAATTATCTTCTCTAATGTACATTTTTCTTTTCTTTTTTCTTTTCTTTTCTTTTAACCAAGTAAGGGCAAGGAAGTGTTTGGAAGGATAATAAACATCTTCAGGCTGCCAACAGTTACTTCCTTGCATGCCCCCTCCTTTCTGGAAATTCAGGCTGTCCGTTGGGTATACACTGCCTGGCACAGAACAGTGTGTGCTTTTAAACAGATAAAAAATACGCCTGAAGTAGCAGGCAGAGTGGCAGGAGGATTGTACTGTTTGCTGCAACACTGCCTATCGCCAGTACCTCCAGCATCTTAATTGCAGTCATCCTGTCTCCCGGAACAATAAACAAGCATTTTGTAATTTCTCCCTCTTGTACACTCTAATTAGTCCTCTAACAGCAAGTGCATGAAGCATCACTGCCTGTTGCTCTGAAACATGATGTCAGTGCTCTCAAAACTAAACTTGCCCAACTGAAATAACATCCTGATTCCCCCCCTCCCCTGCCCCTTTCCCAGGCTGGCAGCCAAATTCTTGAGACCATTCACGATGCTTTTCAGCACTACTGTTTACACCAGCGCAGGTTAAGTACCAGCACCATTTCACTGCAGGCAGAATAAGGAATACAAAAAACTCAAGTATGCCACATCAATCTGAAACAAGGGTCTGCTGCTGTTATGAAATTCCTACATATCTAACTATTGCAACCTTGCACATTTGTGTTGAATTCCAATTGTAACACCGCCACCTCACCGAGTGTCATTTCACCATCTTCATCCTTAACCTCAGACTTTGTTTATTCAAATGTGGTTCTTTACTCTCCATTGTCAATACTCACACCCCTGTACTAAGCATTTCATTGTGGGCAATAAATAAATACACTGCAGATAGTTTCATGAGGATAATTAAACATTAAAATGCTGTTATGCTGCAGGGAGAATAAAAAGTAGCACCTCCTTACTTGAAAGCAGCACTGGCTAACATGTAAGCAAGGGATTGTGTTCCAGGATTTTCATTCCCGCCTTTCCCACCAAATATCTTATCACCAGTTAGTGTCCCATCTCCAAACTCTAATAACTCTTACCGCTTTGTAAAGTACTTTGAGATCCTCAGATGAAAGGTGATACATACAAGTGCAAAGTATTATTACTCACATCAGCTCCCTCTCTGTAGTCATATCCGCTTATTTAAGTGAAAGAAACAAGTTTTTACTCCTGATAGCACTGCGTGACGTGTTCTGCCTCATTCATCACTGGCTCGATTCCCAGTACAGATGCCAAAGCAACGACTCAAGACGCAGAAACAAGGTGGCTTGATTTCTAAACCAAAAGATGACTTTCCTAAGATTTTAATCTTGGGTGAAAGTCAGCCTCCCCGCACAATGGCCAAGCAATCAGGCTTTGTGCGGGGTGCTAAGCAGATGTTGAGGGGACAGAGGGGAATGCAAATCAATCGTATTTGTATTACATTAACCCCAAAATGGCCCCTTCGTGCCAGGCGCTGCACAAGTTTGCAGCAAAAAGACAGTCCTTGTCACGAAGACCTTACAGTCTTGTTTAATGACAAGACACAATAGGCGGATGAAACAAACAGACAAGGAA